CCGCCCCCACCCGGCCGGCAACCCAGCCCCAGCGGCATCAGTCTCTTTGCGACAGCGCGGCTGAGCAGTCGTGTCCTGCCTGCCGCGGGCCGTGCCGTGCCGTGTGCGCGCGTTGCCATTGTTGTTAGTTTGTTGCCGGTGCGCGACGACAGTGGACAGTGTGTGCGTTGTGCTTCACATCACATGTCGCAGTCGCCATTCGAGATGGCGGGGCAGGGACCGTTGCCGCAGCAGCAGCACTCAGTCCGTCCCGAGCGTGCGGGGGTGCGCCCTCCGCAGGCCCGCGAACCTCCACCGCAGCACCCGGAGGCGGTGTTCAAGGTGCCTCAGCAGCCGAAACGGCAGAAGTCGCTCGCAGAGGTTTTGCCTGATCGGAGGAAGGTCCATGATCAGTCGGTTCCTCAGGGGATGCACCACGACAAGTCGTCCGACCAGAACGAGCTCCAGAAGAAGTCGCTCCTAGAGCTGTTGTCTCAACGGTGTAAACTCCAGGAGCAGTTGTTTCATCAGAAGGTGCAGCGAGAGATGTCGTCTCTTCGTGTGGTCCAGGGGCTGCCGTCTCATCAGAAGGTGCCTCATGTGAAGGCGTCCCATCAGAAGGTGCACCAGCACCATGAGAAATCATCTCATCAGAAGGTGCACCACGACAAGTCGTCTCATCAAAAGGTGCCAGTCGTCAAGTCGTCTCATCAAAAGGTGCCAGTCGTCAAGTCGTCTCATCAAAAGGTGCCCGTCGTTAAGTCGTCTCATCAAAAGGTGCCCGGCGTCAAGTCGTCTCATCAAAAGGAGCCCGTCGTTCTCATCAAAAGGTGCCCGGCGTCAAGTCGTCTCATCTAAAGGTGCCCGTCGTCAAGTCGTCTCATCTAAAGGTGCCCGTCGTCAAGTCGTCTCATCAAAAGGTGCCCGGCGTCAAGTTGTCTCATCAACAGGTGCCCGGCATCAAGACGTCTCATCAAAAGGTGCCTGGCGTCAAGTCGTCTCATCAGAAGATGCTCGGCGAGAAGTCTCATCTGAAGGTGCCCGGCGAGAAGTCATCTCATCAAAAGTTGCATCACAAGAAGTCGTCTCATCAGGTGCACCATGAGAAGTCGTCTCATCAGAAGGTGTCCGGGGAGAAGTCATCTAATCAAAAGTTGCACCATGAGAAATCGTCTCATAAGATGTTGCCCCATGGGAAGTCGTCTCATCAGAAGGTGCTCCGCGAGAAGTCGTCAAATCACAGGCTGCTCCACGAGAAATCGTCGAATCAGAAACTCGACTCTCAGCAGAAAGTGCCGTATCAGGGGGTGCCCCACAGCAAGCCGCCTCACCAGATGGCCTCTGCCTCCTCCCTCCCTAGAAGCAAAAAGACCACACAGACGGAAGGACGACGGGATCTGTTGGAGAAGCTGTTTAAATACTGCAAGGAAAGTCATCCTCCTCTCCCGTCTGGAAAAAATCCACTAAAAGGGTGGACCGTACGCGCCGCCCTGGACCTCGACATCCTTGACCTCGAGAGCCCAAATTGTGGGCCAGACTGGATTAAACCCCCGAAAGAGCTGCGCCACCCCCTCCTGTGGGTTTCTCCTTCGGATCCCAACTTCAAGAACTTCAGGAAGCTGGTAGTCTTTCTGTCGTTGAGGTTTCGCCTGCCGCTGCGTAGAGGCGTTGGAGAATATCTCAACTCTTCCTCTGAACCAAAACTTGCGAGCCCAAAGGTCCAGTCTGCAAAATCTGTTCCTGAGACTCCCCACCTGAAGAAATCCGGGTCAAGCAAACCCTCAGCCAAGTACTACAAACCCACTACTCAGGAGGACTCCCTGAAGAGACTTCCGAGCACAGTTGTAGGGACTGCCACTCACGTCCCTCCTGATCAAGAATCAAGAAGCAAGTCTCTTTCGGAGACCAGGCTTTTGGACTCGATTTCTATACAATTGAAGGACTCAGACAAACCTGGACAAAGCTTGTCCTCAGAAACTGACAGTCTTGCTGCCCCACACCCAGAAACAAGATGTGAGTCTCCTTGGGAGACGAATACTGCCACTTTTCTCAATCCAGAACCAAGATGTGAATCGCCTTGGGAGACCGACATCGACTCTCCTGTCTTCTCTGGTCAACCAAGATGTGCGTCTCTGTTGTCAAACAATCCAGTGAATAGCCCCCAGAGCAAGTCTGATATAGACTCCCAAAAAGTAGTTCAGAGAGTGTCTGTAGAGCCTGGCAGTCTTGCTTCTCTCAAACGAAAGCAAAGCGACAAGTCTGCTTCATTGGACATATTGTTTTCAGAAGATGTCATTAAGTTTAAACATTTTAAATACGATGTACAGGGATGGGATGAAGATTATTTCAAAATTTGCCAAACAGTAGACGAGACTGAATCTTTAATGGTTGAAACAACAATCGACGTACCTGAGATATTGGAGTGCAGTCCTCAGATTCGTAATCCAAACGACAATCATGAACTGTCTGCGAAAGACCAATGCCCACTGATTGACATTACTGGTGACAGTCCTGAGGCTATCTGGTGTAGTCCTCTTGCTTGTGATCAAAACAACGGTCCTCCTAGTGTTCAAGATGACATCCAAGCCCATCCAGCGTCGCCACAGGAACCAGGCTCCTATTGTAATGATAGTAAATCATCTGAAAATGGTGTTGTAGAGGATATTGATATGATAACTGATGAACAGGAAGAAGAAGACTATTTGGTGGAAAAAATACATTGTGTGAATAATTCAGAGCCTGAAACATTAAGGTGCAGAGGAAATGAAGGTGTTCAGTCTGCAGGAACACACCTTAATATAATTGAGGTGCAATATCAAAGTCAAACTACAAAAATTGACTCAAGCAATAGGATATACCATTTTAGGTCCATACTAATTAAAATTGCTCAAAATAATGCAAAATTGTTAAATGAAAAGAATTTCTCAATGATGCAAAATTGTTAGAGTTTAGTTTCTGCAAAGATCAGCATGTTAAGTTGAAGTTAATTTTGTTCTCAAATCTATAAATAAACCTAAGTGTTTCTTGTCATCTTGTCTTCTAGTCATGTAGGCTAGGCAAGGAAAAGTTTTATGTTCAAGTATAAAATATTTTATTTGTTAAGGTCAACAAAGACTTCATAAATTTACATCATATACAAAAACAAATCACAATATGTTTAAACAAATATGATGCTATAAGATTTACAGTTATTTACAGAAGCGATCAATTGTTGTAATAAAATAACTGAATAAACCTGTAGTAATCACAAATGGTGGACATTATAATGCCAACTTTTGATAAAATGGACATCATACTTCTGTACAAACAAGAATAACATTATGTAAGAGTTTGGATATAATCTTTAAAATTTGTATCTCGCAAACTAACATGTTTATTTTTTATAATCATTGACTAAAGTAAATTTCATTGCTTTGTTGTAAGCCCAAATGTCAGTAAAATTTAAAGCACAGCCTAGTATGTAGGAGGAAGAGTGTGAACTTTAGATGTAAACTCAGTTTTGGATTAGATGGCAGGCATGTTGAATACACTAAATTTCAATAAAGCCATATGTGGCGCTCCTATGCAGTCTGTATGTTTTCTTAACTTAATGATTGGTCCCAAGTTCATCAATATTCTATCAATGAAATCTAAAATAACGGCATCAAATTGATATCACAATCTCATAACTAATGGTGTCCAGATAAAAATAGATATTTTACCTGTACACAAACCTAATTTCATATTTTGATTATGTGTACACAATTCCAAACAAGCATGGCAGACTAATATGCTGCAGGACATGCAACATCAATAATTACTGTTAATGACTAGATTAGGATTACAAACTTTGGCACAGCCTCTATGCATAGCCAAAGTTTTATGAAGACAATAAGAAATACACTAATACAAATATAGACAAATTTTTTAAAAAATTGTTCAACACTTAGTATCTTTTGTTGCACGGGCAGCATTTATGTCATAGCACATTATCTATGATCTTTGGCTTATGACAAATAATGATAAAAAAGGCAGTTTGCCAATGAATTTTTGTACGGCACATCTATCACAATCTAACTCTTGGCACACATTGTTCATGGCAATCTAAGCAGTAATAGAGATACAAGCAGTAACCAAACATCTTGAAGGCAGCATTCTTCACACCTTTGAACCAGGTGTGTGTGAAGCTTCACGAATAGTAACATGAGTGACAAAAGGCCCTTGCCGAATACTACTTGAGCTATTGACTGAAGGATGATGGAGGGAACCATTAACTGGTACATACGTAGGGTACATTCTGTTAACTCCACCTGAAATATTAAAAACATTTAAGTTGAAGACTGAGACTGAGACAAGAAGGAGAAATAATTTCTAGGAAACTCACTTTGAGGTCTTGAGCTATGCTGCCCATGTGACGGGGGTACTCCATTTTGAGGTGACCGTCGAGGGAGGGAATTAGTGTTTCCATTGTCCATCATTCGATGTTGATTTGCTCTCATCATGGCCTGCACACTCTCATATTCATAAAAATTAGATACAGGCCGTTGGTGAGATTCTCTGTTATCTCTACGCTGTGAATGATAGTGTTGTTGGCGTCGACTGCAACAAGAAAAGTTTGGATTAGATTATTTTGAAACTTGCTATTACTACTGATGGTTATTCTAACTAGCAAATCACACTGCCTAACTACAAAAGATCAAACTTGAAATAATAACCATGCCAATAAACCTAATTTACCTTGCCTGTTCTACTAGGCACTACAATGACAATCATCAACATTAAAATGCTTCAGGACAGATTGTAAGTACTATGTAAATAATGCAACATCCGAGCTCAAAATGAAACTATAGACAACTAATCTGAACTAATTTGATTTACAAACAGAAGCAATACAAAGTAATTCGGAGACTTTACTTTTCTACAGAACTCCTACCTTTCTTCCTCTACTTTCATTCTTTGAAGTTGAACCTGACGTCTCATTTGTAAAATATCAAGTTCAGAGAGTTCCTCTCTGATCATGGTAAAAGAGAAAATTGAATGTAATTTTAATTTAAATAATTTTAATTTAAATGTGGCTAACTACACAAAATTAACGTAGTTTACTTTCAGAGAAAGGAATTATTTTCTTAAAATTATTCTTTGGTTTGGTAGAGAGAGTATAATAATAATTTATAGAGATAATTAACTTACTTTAAGTGTTGTTGAATTTCATCATAGTTAACATAATGACTGAAATGTTGATTTGGGTCAGTTATTCCCATTCTGCTTCCAGGCCTTGTCATTTCACCATACAGATCATATGCACCTGGTGAAGGTTGCTTTTGTTTCTGATGTTGGTATGGTTGATCCACTCTCTGAAAAAATGTGAAAAAATGTAGACAAAAATAGAGTGACATTTTCTTTCAAAAGACAATCTGAACATGTTAGATTAAGAAATAAAATTAGGTTTACCTGCTGAATGGCTTGCTCATAACGTTCTTCTCTCTCATCTAGTGGGTACTGACCCATCCTTTCAACATGCCGACGTTGATGTTGAGCACGCAACAGGTGAATACGTTGTGTTCGAGACTGTCCTTGTTCACCAGGGGATCCTTCACTACTGCTTCCACCAACTCCCCCATGAGATTGACTATGGTGTGAATGTGATGACGATATATGCTGCTGCTGTTGGTGTGGTTGATGATGGTGGTGATGCGAATGGTGATGATTAGTTTGGTGGGTTGAATTTTGATGAGTGGTGTGGCCATAATCAGAACCATTTACACTAGCTGTTTCTTGTTGTTGCTATAAGGCAAAAGAATGAAGTTAGTTAGTGCAAGATAAAATGGATGAAGGCACTTTTGAAAAAGGAACTAAACTCATACCTGTTCCTCCATTTGTCTGTGTCTCTGAACAAGTCTTTTATACTGTTCCTGAATACGTTGTTGTTCATCTTTCGCAGCTCTACGAGCAGCCTCCATGTCACCAATTGGATCATCAGTCTCCATTTCAAAATCAATATCAGATGGTTTCCTATGCTTCCCGAATCTATAAACAAAGTACCAAGTAAACATAAATTAATTTGACTAAGTACAATGGAGGAAATATAAAATAACAGACAACGGTCTGATGACCGACACATACCGGAACATTGAGCCAATGCCCTTCAGCAGGCCAGGTTTCTTCTTGCCCAGTTTGTTCTTGGCGTCCATAGCGTTGAGCGATGACTGGCGAGGCGCTCCTCGTGCGCAGGCGAAGGGCGGCGGCCCCAGAGAATCCACCACGGCGCCATCCTCTTCAGCCACTGCAAGGGAAGGGCGCACGGTCAGCATTGTGCACACAGCTTCAACAACTCAGAGAGCAAAAGGAATAAGCAATAAGTATTACAAGTCTCCATACGGTCGCGCAGGTCTCCCGAGGCGAAGGGCGCCTCGTAGCTGCGGTCCACGGCGGCGCGGAAGCTCTCGTTGCAGCCGCGGCCTCTGATGACGCGCACCGCACCTTGGGCGTTGCGGTAAGAATAGGCCGGGTCGCTATCCTCCTGCATTTGGATCTGGAAACAAACAAAAAGCATCGTTGTGAAAAAGATAGACAAAAGCTGCATAACCAATTATGGACTGTGTTTTTCGACAATTTTAAAGAAGACAACCTTACCTCTTGCACCATAGTTTGAAGTGACTCCAAGCTCGATGACTTCTTCATACCTAAAGACGGGCCCAGTTCAAATTTCTTCCTATCACCAGAATCTGAAAGAAGTTGAATTTCATGAATTAAAAACATAAAATGACAGTTCTTTACATACAACACTGTGAATCCTCAAGGTGACCCTCCAATTAAACCTGGAAACCAACACCCATCATTTCAGATTTTGCTGTTATTCATGCAGCCTGAGGTTTTTAAATGTAAGTTGGAAGTGTAGTAATGCAATATATACATTTTCACAAATTTTGCTGACTTTTAGGGGGCCTCTATGAGGGACCCATCAGTACCCATTAAATTCCTAATTTGTCAAAAAAGTATTTATTGCATTATTATACTTTCAAAGTGCATTTAGTAAACCTTTAGGATGCATCAAAAACAGCAAAATCTGAAATACGGGTGATGGGTGTCAGGTTTTATTGGTGGGCAACCTTAACATCACAACTTGCCAAAAAATAAAGGAAAAAGAAAGCAACACAAGAAATAACAAGACAGAAAATATAAGTTAGATTTTGTGCACCAACATAAAACTGTAAAATGAAAGCAAGAAAGAAGCAATGAAAGAACATTCATGAAAAAAACGGTATGCAGCATGAAAAAAATAAATAAGCAAAAATGAACTTAAAAGATACGGCAAGTTATGAGGTTTACTTCAAAGGTGTGTCTAACTACAGTTTGTGTGGTAAAAAATTTACATATTTAGAAAGTGCACATCTAAGTACATACACTCAGAGGCTTCCTGAATCTGGGGAATACTCGTCACAGATTCGATGGAATTTGCACGCAACATGCCTGCTGCTTTCGCAACCTTAATCCCTTCAAATGGAAAAAGAAAATAGAAGCAATGAGAGACCAACATCTGCTGATAATACACCTTTCATTAAACTCATCTAATATGAAGAAGAAAGTATGGTAATTTGTATGAAGGAGAACTTCAACCTATTGGTCTAGAACGTAATCATGCCACAAACAGTAAATAAAATTACTTATTTTTTTTAGACAGAACCTTAGTTTAAAAATTAGTATAGGATTAGTGGAAAGAGCAAGAAGAAGCACCAAAAAAACTTATGAATGATTGATCAGTAATTTTTTTTTTTAAATCTAGAAAAAAGTACGATGTTAAACTGTTGCTGGAGATATTATTACAAGTATCACCAACCTTCATTGCTACTGTCAAGATCTGAGCCACTCTGTTTCTGCTTTTCTCGTTCTTCCCTGTGACAAATAGAAATTAGATGTAAAACTTGCCATTTTTCAGTCAGAGGAGTCATGAAGAAAAAGCCAAATTAGGTACCTCAATTTTTTCTGTCGTTGGTATGTATCAGTGTTCTTTGCATCTAAAGTTGCATGCCTTTTTTCTGACATACTTTGACGGCCAAAGGCATCCCTTGAAAAGCCTGCTGCAGATTCATCAAGGGAGAGTCTGCAAAGATAATCCAAGTGTTTAATTAATTTGATTTTCATGAGAAGATAGTAACGGTTATATAATGTCAAGAAAGGATACAGTAAATATCAATCAATTGAATAATAGACTCACTGGCTTGCATATGCAACATCTCCATGCGGTTCACTACAATTGCTTTGCTCAGACTGCTGAGACTGTTGGTGCTGTAACGGTGGAGGTCCACCCTTGAATTGTTGAGACTGTTGGCTAGATACACTAGGCCTTCGACTATCCTCCTTCTCAGGTCTACGGCCTCTACTGAAAAAAAGAAACAAATATGTATTAGAATATTGTGCTAGAAATTAAAAATTTAATTCCATAACTTTTTCAATTTAAGGAAGCAACTTTTACCTATTAGAATGTTGGTGGGTTCCATAAGTAGGACTCTCTTCAATGAGAATCATTTCTCCATTACTTGGATTAACAGTTGGGCTTGTCAGGTGACCCATTGGTCTGTCAATAGGTGATGAACCGCCTGCTAAGAGGGCTGTTGTATTCCAAGTAGATGTGTCATGCGTTGCTCTATAATAGCTCTCATTATGTCTAGCACTTTGAGTTTGGCCTGTCAGCCTATCCAAAACGGGATTTCTCATTGATACACAATCTGCAAGGAATTTCAATTTAGTTAGTAGCTAATGAATTCACTTGAAAATTCATTAATTTTTAAAAAAGAAGAAACATTGACTAACCTAAGGATTTATCTAAACTGCAATCTATGCTTCGATCTAAGCTACCATTTGTGGCACGATTATGGTCTTTGTATGGTAGAAAGATAACTGTGTTGTCTGAATTTTCACTGGTTCCAGAATTGTCAGGAGTACATGTATCCTCATGCTTTCCATTTAGTTCAATACCTAGAGTAAAAATACACATAATTGTATTCACAAGTTGTTGCAAATGTTGCAATAAATAACCACACACAGCTCACTAGCACTTACTTTGAGGTGTTGTTACAGAATCTTTAGTACCATTGGATGGGGTTGAGGGTGAAGGGGCACCTGTCCTTCGAGCAATAGTTAATGTAATTACACCTGGTATGGGTCCTTCAGTGTGAAGCATTGCACGTCTTAATGTTTCCATTGCGTCAGCATTTGATTGGTTCAACAGTGAGACACCATTTACATTTAATAACTGATCATTAGTTCGTAATCGACCATCTCTTGAAGCTGCACCTCCGTGCAAAACACTTTTAACGAATATTCCTAAGTCATATGGTGCTACTTGATGATTTGCAGAGGTTTTACCCTTAACACTGACACCTGAAAATTTATAATAATTAAATATTGTATTATAGGCAATTTAGAATACTATTGTGAATGATACTGATCAGTACTCCCGTACCAAGTCCTGCTTTCTCAGTGTCATGCACTGGAATGTCAAACTGGAGTATTTCTTTGTGCTTCCATGGATAAATTAGGGAATCCTCACTTGACTTTTCATTACTCTACCAGATTAAAAGATAAAATTGGTTATAAATGGGTAAAACAAGGTAACAGATATGTTGAAAATGAGGTATTGGTAATTTTACCTTATGGTAACCATTGGTAATGTGCACTCCTTTTTCACTACCAGGAGATTTGTTGCTATCTTGTGATTCATTGCTACTATTCACTGGCTGAGACGGAGAGTTGGACAACTCTTCGCTAGACTCAGGAGATGATTCCTATAATTTTTAATGAGAAAGGAGAGAAAATTATTATTTATTGAATTTTTTTTTTTCGAAAACAAGTAAATGGCAAAAATAAATTTACTTACAGTGTAGTTTGACTGAGGACTGGACCCAGCAGTATTTGTATCATCTTGCCTAGAAACTACAATATGTACAACACTGCCAGCAGGCGCATTTCGTAATACTGTCACTGCTTCAGCCTGTGTTTTACCAGTCATCTCAACTCCATTCACCTCTAACAATCTATCACCTGGCCTCAGCCGTCCATCCTCAACAGCTGCTCCCTAGATTAAATAATTGAAACAAAATTGAGAACATTGAATTTAATAAGGTCCTCAGAAAAATCTTCTGTAAAGCAAAAGTACGTACCTTGGGGAGAATATTTTTGATGTATATCGGGCAGTTGCCCCCCGCAGGGTTATCCCTAGTTGTGATGCTGAAACCAAGCCCATGTGGGCCCTTGGTCAAGTCAATAGCCACCTTGCGCCCCATTCGTCGAGTATTGGCTGCCAGAAGGGTGTTGGCTGTGTTGCGTATCAGAGTGCCGGAGGATCCTGGACCTCCATTGTTATTTCCATTGGAAGGCAATTTTTTTGTGGAAGACACAGTGGCTACTTTAGGTTGACCTCCAACTACTAAAAGAAGAAAACAAATAATTAAAAAATTACATTCTACATGTTTCAAAAATTATTTTTTCTCTGTACTTGATTTTAACTTACATCTTTCCTCTGTTTCAACCATGGCAATATTCTCCTTGTCAGATGAAGATCTAGGGAAGACAGGTGCAGGAGGCTTTTTATTGTAATTGGCTATACTACTACGATGTTTAACAACACGTAATCGGAGCTCAGGAGATCTAAGGGAATCTTTGAAAATATCTTGGACGCTGCGAGGGAAAGAAAATAGAAGAAAATTAATTTTCGTTGTCGTTGTTGTTTTATAGACGATATCTATAATAAGTTTGAAAGAGATTTTGGTTTTGCTTACGTGTGGAACGGCATATTGAGGAGGTTTTTGCCATTGATCTCGATGATGCGGTCGTACACCTGAAGGCGGTGGTCCCGGTCGACGCGGCCGCCCGGCTCGATACCCTGCACCAGCAGCCCGCGTTCCTTGCCCAGCTGGTCGTAGTCCGGCACCACATGAATGCCCAGGGGACCCGCCTCGCTCCGGAGCACCACGAGCTCGGTGCTGCAGTAGAAATAAAAAGAAGATAAAAGACAGTCGGTAAAGCACGAGCAAAACGGGGCCATTCGTCCGGAGCAGAGCAAGAGCGACACGTACCTGTCGCCGGCGCCGTCCGTGTTGTCGACGTGGTTGGCCTGCCCGAGGGGCTCCTTGCGGCGGTGGTCGCGGGGCAGCGACAGCGACTGGCCACGGTTGGGGCCGGCGCCCGCGTGCCCACCGGAGCCCATGGAGGGCAGCGAGGCCATGGCCACCCGCTCGGCCGCGTCGCACCAGCGCAGCCCGCCGGCCGACTCGCCCAGGAACTGCATGGAGAGGCGGTTGGCGCCGTCGCGGCTGAAGCGGCCGTACGCGGGCGGCCGGAGGTGCGACTCGCGCAGCGGCTGGCGCTCGAGGGGCGCGGCGGCCTGGCTTGGCGGGGACTCGTCCTCCCAGTCGATGGTGCCGGGGCTGCCCAGCGAGCCCAGCGGGCTGCTGGGACTGAGGCACAGCGGCAGCGACTCGGAGCTCTCCATGATGATGGGCGCGGCCGACCAGCGCTTAGAGGCGGCCTTGCGCTGGCACGGTGGCGGCAGCGACGTCGCGGGCGCGCGGTCCCCGAGGCCCTCCGGCAGCTGGTTGAGCGCGGGCTCGCTGCCCCGCCTCACCTGCAGCTGCAGCCCGCCGCCCGCCATCTGCTCACCGGTCACCTCGATGTCAGTGCGGCCGCAGGCGCCGTACCTCTCGGTGCCCTGTGAAGTATGGAAATAAGCGTCAAGGCATCCAATCGGAAAAGAGACAGGTGAAGCATCTTACAAAGCTTGTCAACTTACATGGAAGATGTCTGGCGAGCCGGTACCGACCGAGGATCCTGACGCTCCATCTCCACCCGTGTGCTGTCCCGGATGGTCGCTGCCCGCCTCCTCAAAGGTGGCCGTCAACGTCTCCCTGTCGTCGGCCACATCGGCCAGCCGATCGTCTGGGTCGAGGAGGCCTCCCTCGGCCGAGCTCACGGCCTGTACCGACACCCACGTGTCCGGCGCCTGGAACACAAGAAGAAGGCGGCCGCAAGTCAGTCGCAGTGTCGAAACAAATCCACGGCCGGGCTCCGCGACACCGTAGCTGTGACGACCAATCCGTCGTGGGCACTTTTTCCTCCCTCTTTCGCCGTGCTGTTGGGTCATGTGCACCCAATTATCTTTACAGCGCCGGGGGGCGGGCGCTCACTCCCGCCGTCGACCCCTTACATTTACCCGACAGATGAGGCTGAACTAAGTGACGACGGCCGCAGCATCGCGGGCGGGGCGGGGCGCGGCGCGGCAGGGCGGGGCAGAGCGGGGCGGGGCGCGGGCGGCGCCTAGCGTGACGGCGCCGGGCGGGTCCTCGCGTGCTACATGGCGGGTGCGCGAGAGGCGCGAGAGAGCGCGGGAGCGGGAGCAGAGATGAACGCGACAGAGAGAGACTTTGCGGTGTGTGCGGCGCGGCCTGGTGCGGCGGCGCCGAGGTCCTGAGACAGAAAGTGAGTGCCCCTGGAAACAAGGACAGTGGGCAGGGCCGGGCCGGGCCGCGTGCCCCGGGCAGCAGGTGCTGCTGCTGCGAGCCGAGGTGAAGTGAAGTGCCTTTTGCACTTTCGCCGCAAAACACAACGGCGCGCGGGCCACCGTCCAGGAGGGGAAGTTTCATTCCGAGAGAGGGACCCCGCGATAGCCTCGGGAGACAGTCGCACACGTGAGGCGGGCGTGATATTCTCTCTCGTGCACACAGCTCTCCTCCTGTGTCGGGGCGCAGAGAGGAGTGTTTCGTCGTTTCGAGTGACACGTCATGGACGCCTCCGACTGTCGTTTTTTAAAAATTTGTAGATGTGTGCGTGAGTGTATGTGCATGTGCCGGTGAGTGCTGCCCCCAGTAGGCCCAGCCGGCTCAGCCGCATGCCTGCGCATACCGCGTCATGACAAATGAAGGACATACATACACACACACATACACACACCTGCACACAGCGACAGGCCGGGCCGGGGAGGCACACAGAGGACGGCAAGTGGTTACGCCTAACGAATCGCGAATGATGTGTGCGTGTGTATGTGAGCGTGCGCGTGTGTGTGATACTGATGTGAGTCAACAACCCGACTGTGCGCATGGGATGGGTGCGGGCCGGATTATCGACTTTACAACAAGGAGTATACCACTAAAAAAAAAAACAAAAAAAAAAACACCAAAATAAAAAATAGGTTAAATCGCCGATTTAACACCTTTCAATTAAAAACCGAGATTGATCCGTTCGGGACATTAAGAACGTCCTCACTTAGCCCTTCTCCAAGTCCGTGGCCCGCCCGGTCGAAGACCAAAGGCGCCGGATCATCAGACCAAATCGGCCGCTGCACGGACTCGACTTGCTAACTAACGCCGACTCACGGCGATATAATATCATAAAAGCGGCAGACATCGTGCTTCAGCAATTTCTCCCCTCCCCCTCTTCTCCGGCTCATTTTCACCCTTTTTTCTTCCCGTGCTTCCCCGCTGCTGCTCCCCTCGATTTCAACCAGTCACTTTACGATGCCGGTAGAGGGCGACGCCCCCCCCCCTCCCTCCAAACGTGTTGCTGAGGCGCCCGAATTCGCGCGCGCAATGGCAGCGGCTGGACTGCTGCAGGCACACACGTTCACTTTCACGCCCGCCTGAGATGAGAACTGGAGGCAGGCGGGAGTATTCGAGCGAACGAAACGGAGACCAAATCAGTCGGATAAAACTTCTCATGAGGCGGAGGGCGGACCAGACCCGCCCCGACCAAACCAGTACCCACTCTGCCCGGGGCGGGGCGGGGCGGGGCCGCGCGTTGCGCAAGCCACCAGCGGGAGCGCCGCGGCGCCACGACCGGCGTGTAGCCGCGGGCCCGATGGGCGTCATGCTGGAGCTGGTTATGCACGGCTCATTATGTCCCTGCACGCCGTCCCCG